GGTTCCGTGCTCTGGGGAGGTAAAGGAGACTTAGCATGATGAAAAGCCATCATCTTCTCCTGGGTCCTCTCTTCCAAATCCAAAACATACTTCTCCTGGGTCCTCTCTTCCAAATCCAAAACATACACTCTGCTTTACAAATCCTGTCCAGATAAAGTCTTCCATCCCCACCAGCTGCCATAAGCAACTATCAGCTCTTGTCCATCTTGATGCTCCTATTCTGAAAGTTTCCCCTAGGGAAGCCCCAACTCCCATCTTCTAGGACAGACATCCGTGGGTTGGAGGAGGAAAGGCTGAGCAGAAGCTGTAGCTGGGCAGTGGGGGAGTGGTATAAAAGATGGACAGGCGTCCAGGCTCCCCACTCTCCAGCTAATAGAGTGCTGAAGTGGCCACTATAATCTGAAAGAGCAGATACTGTAATCCCATAGTACTTCCTATTGGCTGCAGGACACAATTCTCTCTTGACACTGAAATCTGGGTGTGCCGGGGTTCTAGGAATTCGCAACGCTTGCAACAAGTTGTGAAGCCACTGTGTGCAGGGTCAGGAATGGGGAAGGTTTCAGCAGAGAAAGTGAGGTCAGTCAACGAATCGATGCTTGTCTGAGCCTTTAGCCGTTGTGTCGCCCAATCTCTATTCCTGTTGAAGGGTGGTGATCCTTGGCCGGTCTTGCAGAACCCCACATTAGAGCAAGACATCTTAGAGGTCTACTCCTGCTTCCACTGCCCACATCTCTCCATGTAGCTCTGAGGCCACCCCCTCCCAGCCTTTTCATTTATTCATTTAATTAACAAACTCCTCCACTGAGGGCCTATTCCGAGTGGGGCTCAGCCAGCCTGCATCTTGGTTATGAACACAGATGAGCATCTTTCCTCCTATACTCACAACCACTCTGTAAGGCTGGCACAGTTTACTGTGCCTATTTAGCAGATGGGGAGGCTGAAACATGGAGAGGTGTCACTAGCCTGCAGTAACACAACTGGCCTGGATTCCTAGTAGGTGGTCCAACTTTAGTGGTCTTTGTGGATACCAGCAGTCTAGGAATAAAACCAAAGTCCTGCCTTCAGGTGCTCTCAATGACTGAAGCAAAGCAAGATGAATGCCAATGCTCCCAGCCCTTGCAGGGGCATCAGGAGGAAGTTCATATCCCTTTGGGAGGTGAAGCCATTCTGCTTCCCTTCCCAGTGCCTTGTCTCAGCAGCCTGCTTAGGGAGTCTCTGTTCTCCACCTCTATCTAAAGCTCCATTTGGTGGGGTGGGTGCCTACCTGGAAGGGGAAAGTCCGAGGCAGTCTTGTCACCCAGCTGTGCTGGAGAGGGGCTCAGACCATCCTCACCACCAACCCGGAGCCCTTCCATCTGGGCCAGTTTACCTCTATGCTGGGCGCCGGTGAGGAGAGGCTTTGAAAGAGCGAATGGGACAAGGGTGAGTGTATGATTGGGATCTTGCCAGGCCCAAATTCTGACCTCGCTTCTCTGAGCCTCCAGGACTCCGGGTTGAGGCTGGGGTAAGGACAGGTAATGTCCCTTCTCCTCCCACCCCTGCGTGTCCTTCCTTCCGTGACCCTGTTCCATCCACACCCCTGGACCCCTCAGCTGCTGCGAGCGGCCCTCACTCCCATCTCTGCAGCCAGACAGCGCCGGGTTCTGGGCTCTGGCTCCTGCGGATCTGGGCTAAGACTGCACGGGACCCCCACGGCCAGAGTCCAAGGCCCGCCCCCACGGGGAGGCGGATGTAGGAGGCTCGGGCGGGGGTGAGGGCCAGCTGTCCAGGGGCTGGGGGCAGCGGGAGCAGCGGCTGCCGGAGGGTCTGGGGGCGGCACGGGGGAGGGGCCGGGGCCGGCAACCCCAGCTAGGGGCGAACGGGCGGCGGGCGGCGAGCTGGGCAATAGGAAACCGTTTATTAGGAGGGAGTGGTGGAGCGGGGCCAGGCAGGAAGAAGCTGGAATAAGAAACATTTTTGCTCCGGCCCCCTTCCCAGTCCCGAGAGGCCGCCGCGCCGGCAGCGCAGAACAGCCCCTCCCCAGCCCCAGCCCCCTCCGGGGCCGCGCCCGACCCCTCCCCAGCCTCCAGGGCCACTGTCCAGTGCTTGCCCAGCCTCCGCAGCCGGCCGTCGCCAGAGAGGGGAGGCGGCCTCCGCCCCTTGCACATTCGCGCACGGCTGCCCACAGTGTCGGCCCAGAGGTGAGTGGATGTGGGGGAGACACCCAGGAGAGGGGTGGCCTGATCTCGCCCCAGTAGGCCCTTCCGTGGGGGCATATCTTACAGATACCTCGAGAGGTGGAGTTGGGTCAGTCCCAACTCATCAGGAACGGTAAGCTGTTCCCTCCCTGTCCCCACATATCTGCCATTACCCCACCTGAGACTGAGAGATGGCTGGAAGGAACCCGGATGGGAAATCAGAAAACTTTGCTTCAGTCGGGTGACCCGGGGCAAGTCGCTTAAGTTGTCTGTTCTCCTATCGTTATCCATAAAATGGGCAGAAATTGTCTTGCTTCACTATAGAAGAGGGATTATGTATCCTTCCAGGCTGCTGGGTTGAACTGGGTGTGAGTATCCACTTTCAACTTTTTTGAGCCTTGCCTTGGAGCCCACCTTGCCTGCACCAGCCCTTGCAGCTCTTACTTAAGGAAACTGACATGGTAGCTCCATCAGACCTCACCACAAATCTGTGTGGTCAGGCAATCCCCGTACCATAGTCTTGCTTCAGGATCCAGGCTAAAGGGGATCCCAGTCTCCTTTCCGGCTGGGTCCCCAGGTTTTCAGTCTGCCCTGGAGGCCACTGCTGTTAAGCCTGTCTCTGGGCTGGCCGCACACACTCCTTTTCTTCTCCAAAGTCAGCGGCACAATAGGCAATAGCTTTCACCCTCTATACCGGGTATCCATAAAGTTCGTGTACAATTTAAAATATACAACTGGCTGCGCGGTGGCTCATGCTTGTAATCTGAGCACTCTGGGAGGCTGAGGTGACCAGATCACTTGAACTCAGAAGTTTGAGACCAGCTTGAGCAAGACTGAGACCCTGTCTCTAAAAAATAGCCAGGAGTAACGGTGGGCGCCTATAGTCCCAGATGCTCAGGTCGCTGAGGCAAGAGAATCGGTTGAGCCCAAGAGTTTGAGCTGTGATAATAGCATGAAGTCACTTGACCTCAGGGTGACTGAGACTCTATTTCAAAAATAAAATAAAATAAATAGACAACTATTTTAAATTGCACATGAGCTTTATGGACACATATATATGGGCAGCTCTGGCTGAATGAGGATCTCTCTTGTCTGATCCCCCATTACCCCATTTTTCCTAGTGACCGTCCTCTTACTTCATTGGGTTGTTAAAAACGAATGTCATTTATTGAGTACTTACTATACAGATGCTTAGATATATTTTTTCTCATGTAATGCTGGCCACTACCTAGTAGAAGAGAGGTTTCAATGCCCATTATATAGAAGAGGAAATGGATTCAAACTTTTTGTTTTTGTTGTTGCAGTTTGGCCAGGGCTGGGTTTGAACCCTCCACCCTTGGTATATGGGGCTGGTGCCCTACTCACTGAGCCACAGGGGCCACCAACAGATTCAAACTTGAATGACTTGTCCAAAGCTCCTTGGATGGCATAAATGGCACGGTTGGGAGTTGGGTAACATTAAGTGCTTACTATGTACTTCCTAGTACTCTACCAAATAATTTTACTACGTTATACCTGTGAAATAAGCATTATTATTCCCATTTTATATATGAGATAAAGCCTCAGAAAGTTTAAGTAACCTGCTCTAAATTGCACAGCTCTAAGTGGCAAGGGCAAGAATTGAACCCAGGTCTTTATGACGCAGAGCCCATACCCTGATCTCTGGGGTTTAGTATGCTGCCTGCATAGCCTCTTTGAGGCCCTAAAATCCAGGCTTGTTCTACTACATCACAGCACTGTAAGGGGGTAATGAAATGATGTGGACGAATTGTAAGGGGAATCCCATATAAACAGCTCAGTGTGGTCCTCTGCTAGGTAAGATCTCCTGACATGCGGGGTGAGGCAAGATGATTGTGCTTGATGCAGCCCTGTGACAATCACTGCTGTGCTGAGCCATTGCTCCTGGTGGGAGTGGGTTTTAGCAATCCCTCAAGTAAGTTGGAGAAAGATGGACAATCTCTTTCCAGGCACATTCTCACTCTGGCTGTCCCTCGCTGAGTCTCAGACTTTGACTAAGTCTATGGCAAAAGATGATTACTGGGCAGCAACACTGTCTTTGCATTTAAACAAACCTAAGTAGAAGACCCGTCAATGCCAACAGCAGTGGGAAATTTGTTCATGTCTTCTAAGACCCATATCTTTTTCCTCCGTTTGAGGGACTCATCTAATTCCAAACAATTGGAGGAATAACAATGACCAAGGAAAGATTTGTTATCAGCAACTGAAGTTTATCAAGGCACAGTTGGTGACTATGACCAAGAAATTTAGCATCCTTGGGCCTCAGTTTCTCCATCAGATTGTTGTGAAGATTAATTAAGATAAGCCAGGAAAGCTCAGTACTTAGCACATAATTAGTACTCAGAGAAGTTTAACTGTTATTGTTAAGTATTTTATGGTGTTAAACTAATGTTTGAAATTAGTTTAACATTTGTGGTTTCTGGCCAAAAACAGTGATGCTTCTATCAGCAGGAGATCTTTCACTGAAGGTTTGCTTATGAGTGAGAGGATTCCACTGTGCCCTGGTCAGATTTCAGGGCAAATGGTTTAGAGTAAGCTTTGAGCTTGGACTAGGCCCTGGGTCAGGACTTAGCACCCTTCCGTATTTAACCTTAACTGGGCCCAGTTAAAAATCAGTCAGTCCCAATTGTACTCTGTCACATTCCCAGGATTAGACCAGTGGTATATTCTGCAAATGCTACCAGGCCTTGATTCCATATTGTCACCAAGTCCCTGGCCTTGGTGTTTAACCTTGGGAAGGTCCCTGGCTGGGAGTAAGAGTTCCCTCCCTCTACATCCCACTCCCACTCATCCAGCAGGGCCCTGTACAGAGAAATGAAAGCCTAGGAACCAGTCTCTGTGTTATGTAGAACACATTTCTTGAAGTTTACTGCTCACACAAACTGATCAGAATCCCTGAGGAACTTTTTAAAAAAATGCTTATATCTTGCTAGTCCCAGAGGGACTGAATCAGAATCTGGAATATGGGTGAGACCAGAGAATATGCCTTGCTAACCAAGCACTTCAGATGTTTCCAACATGTAATAAAGTAGGTGAGAGGGCGGACTGGGGCCTGGTCAGAGAATTGGAACCATGGGTAGAGGACCCTAAAAGGGTGCCCGATTTTATCCTTATTGTTAGCCACTTTTTTCTTCCCACCTCATACTCTTCTTAATTGCTTTCTGGGCAAGCAAAGGCCATTGAGGATGGCTTCCTACTAGTATCCCAGGGGCAGATTCAGCTTCTCAGGGGCTCTCTCTCCCTCTCACCTCCAGTTCCACTGCAGAGGGCTTTCCAGAGTCCTCACTAGCTGCTGGGAGGGGCAAGAGGCAGGAGGTCAGGCAAAGGCTGGGGACACAGCTGCAGCAGCCCAGGCCTCTGTTTCCTCCCCAAGCCTGGGCCTCTGGGGCAGAGGAAGCCCAGGCAGGAAGGCTAGACCTGCCACCAGCCAGAGAGGCCCACGAAGCCCCCCAGCCCACTCCCAGACATCCTGCCCTCAGAGGCTCAGCATCATGGGTCTTCAATGGACACCATTCTTAGATTATATGGCCATATTCCCAGCCCCATTAGCATCATCATGTCATGCCAAATGACAGTCTCCCTCCCTTGCCCTGCCAGGGGATTCAGTCCCCAGACACCTAACCGCACATGTTTCACCCTTCAGAAAGTCCTCATTGGGCCAGGTGCAGTGGCTCATGCCTATAATCCTAGCACTCTGGGAGGCCAAGGCAGGTAGATTGCCTGAGCTCACAGGTTCAAGACCAGCCTGAGCAAGAGTAAGACCCTATCTCTAAAAATAGCTGGGTGTTGTGGCAGGCACCCTTAGTCCCAGCTACTTGGGAGACTGAAGCAAGAGAATCACTTGAGCCCAAGAGTTTGAGGTTGCTGAGAGCACTCTATCATCAACAACAAAGTGAGACTTTGTCTCAAAAATCTTTTTGTTTTTTTTAAGATTATAAAAACTTCTTCTTTAATCAAGATTTTTTTCTTGGCTCGGCGCCTGTGGCTCAAGCGGCTAAGGCGCCAGCCACATACACCTAAGGTGGCGGGTTCGAATCCCCAGCCCGGGCCCGCCAAACAACAATGATGGCTGCAACCAAAAAAATGGCCGGGCGTTGTGGCGGGTGCCTGTGGTCCCAGCTACGTGGGAGGCGGAGGCAGGAGACTCGCTTGAGCCCAGGAGTTGGAGGTTGCTGTGAGCTGTAATGCCATGGCACTCCACCTAGGGGGCCAGCTTGAGGCTCTGTCTCAAAAAAAAAAAAAAAGAAAGAAAGACCTTAGAAAGGACAGCTGATTAAAGCTTCAGGCTGAAAAGCGGCTTGGCAGCTTCATTACTTTGGCTTCTTGGGTAGTGGGCGCCAGAACAGCAAGATGTGAGGTTCTGGTTCATGGATCATATAATGGACCCACCCCTGACTCTGCTGAACACCAAGATTCCTCCACTCAGATTCAGACATCAAATGTGTTTTAGGGACCAGTTTGGCTATATCCTTGGGCAACATGACATGCCGGTACGAACTCCTCGTCGTCATATTTGTCTGAATAGTAAATTTGTTTGTGCGACACGATGGCTCCGCTTGCTTCAACCCCGCACCACCAACCTCACAGATCTTCCACAGTACCGCCCATATCTTCTGATTCTGTATCTTTAAGAAATGAAGAGTGGTTGGCTTCTGAAGCACTAGTTGGTTTGGGATCTGGGTTGGGACTAGCATAGTCTAGACTTACTCCCCTTAACACTCTCCACCAAACTTCTGGAAAAGTTCAGGATTAGCCAACGTCTAAGTATGTTTCACTTCCCCTCCCACATCACTAGCCATCCCCTGAGGCTTTCCTAGGACAGCAGGAAGAGGGAAGGGGGTCAAAGGATGGCTCAGAGTGAGCATCTTATACTCACCTCCCTCTGGTGAGTTATAGAAAAGTTCCTTTATACCTGACATGACCCGGCACTGCCCAAGCTTTGCATGGTTGTTACAACCCTGAGGGCTTAGACTGGGTTGCCACCATTGGATCAAGACACAGTAGAAAGAACACTGGACTGCAAATCTGGAAACCTGATTGTACTCCTGCTGCTGCCTCTGAAAGGATTCTATTGGTCCCTGGATGAGTCTTCTCTCCTCCCTGAACCTTAACTCCCTCTTTTCTAAAATAAGGAGCTGGACTTTGTGATTCACAGGTATCCTCCTAAGAGTATGTCATGTGGGGTCCCAGACCTTATAGCGACTCTAGCCTGCCCTGAGAATGTGCCCTTAATATGCCCTGCTGTGCGTGACTGCTGCCTGTTCTATCCAGACCCCAATCTAAACAATCTTGATTCCTGTTCCTGGCCTGGCGGGGCCCTGAATGGCAGGAAGTGAAGACAGGAGCCTGTTTATGTTTGAGGCAGCCAGAGCTGGGGGGGGGGGGGGGGGGGACAAGGGGGAAGGGGGGGGGGGGGGGGGGGGGGGGGGGGCAGGGGACACTGGGAAAGGGTGGGCAGAGATGGAGGCTGGGAGGGGTGGGCAAGAGGCAGAGGGCAGGAGTGGGCTACTGAAGAGATTTGCCTTCTACCCCAGCCTGGCACCCTCTGTGGCCCTCCCAACCTGCTTTCAGCCTGAGCTTAGCAGCAGGGGTACAGAGCTGGGGTTCCCCCAAGTTCTCAATTACTTAAACGTGGCTCTCCACCCTTCACCCCTAACAGGATGGTTTCCATGGGGAAGTGAACCAGGACTTCCCCTATAGGCCCCGCCCCACAGGCAGACTCAGGGAGTGGGGAGGCAGTCTCCCTGCCTCCCCCCCAGAAAAACTCTCAGTGATTTCCTCTAGGTGGGAGGAAGCTGTCACATTTTAGAGACCTTTATTGCACTTCTTCTGCTCCTCTCTCCAGGGACCATGATATTGGGCTGCCCCAGGAAGGGTTTTCTGATGCTACTGATGGCCTTGGGCCTGACCTGTGGTGAGTAATGGGGGAGCAGTTAGAGAATGAGGTCCTAGGTAGAGAAAGGGCTATCTGGGTCCAGTTCAGCCCTAGCTGGGGTGAATTTGAGGAGCTGGGAGAAGAAGGACTTAGGAGCTTGGCTGGAGGGTAGGGATAGTAAGGTTCAGTTAGACTGAGCTTCCAGTTTCTCCTGTCCTCTCTTTATCCAGGCCTGCAGGCTGGTGCTCAAGGGTGGAGGGAGAGGGATTGTCAGCTGCTCAGGCCCTCTGGGCTGGGGCTGGGGGCCAGGGCCAGACCTGGAAGTGGAAGAGGAGTTCCTAGGATCCAGGAGGGAACAGAATCCTCCTTCTCACAGTGTCAGCTGTCCTTGGCTGGGTGAAAGCCTCTAAAGGAAGGAGGACCTGAGGATGGAGGGAGTTTGTTTGAGGGGTCAGAGGGTAGAGGGCAGCAGGACAGAGATGGGTGCTGGGCTGAGCCTCTGGAAGCTGGGCCCAGAGGCTGAGCTTCCTGTGTGTCTCCCAGGTGACCCCATGAAGCCCTCTCAGGGCCCGCTGGTGACCTGCACGTGTGATAACCCGTATTGCAGGGGGCCTACCTGCCAGGGGGCTTGGTGCACAGTAGTGCTGGTACGGGAGGCAGGCAAACAGCTCCATGAAGAGCGGGGCTGTGGGAGCCTGAACCATGAGCCCTGCAAGGGACACCCCACTGAGTTCGTCCACCACCACTGCTGCTACAGCCACCTCTGCAACCACAACGTATCCCTGCAACTGAAGGGTGTGTCCAGCTGCCTCTGCACCCGCACCCCATCTGCTCGGACCCTGCCCTCCCTACCTTGCTTTCCTTTCATGCTCTAGTTAGTTGGGGATGGGGTGGCTTGGGGGGAAGCACTTCTGGGTTGTTACTGGCAGAACAGTCTGGCCCAAGGTGGAGGGAGCTGGCCTGATGGCAGCAAGGCCTCAGCCTCCCTCTCCCCCAGCCACCCAAACTCCTTCGGAGCAGCCAAGAGAAGATGACCAGCTGCCTCTGCTTCTGATCCTGAGCCCCATGCTGGCCTTGCTGGCCCTGGTGGCCCTGGGTGCCCTGGGCCTGTGGCATGTCCGGCGAAAGCAGGAGAAGCAGCAGGGCCTGCACAGCAAGCTGGGAGAGTCCAGCCTCATCCTCAAGTCATCTGAGAAGGGGGACAGCATGTTTGAGGTTTGGGTCTGGGGACTTGGGACATGGAGGAGGATGGGGGGCAGATAGGTACCACAGAATCAGAGGGGTCAAACTAGAGCAGGCAAGGAGCTGGGCAAGTAACACAACAGCAGGTCCCAGATTGGGGACAGAGAAGGGGACTGCAGGTGGGGGGCAACCTCTCAGTAGCCTTTCGGTACCCTCAGGACATCCTGGACAGTGACTGCACCACAGGCAGTGGCTCAGGGCTCCCCTTCCTGGTGCAGAGGACAGTGGCACGGCAGGTCACCCTGGTGGAATGTGTGGGTGAGCAGTGGGTGAGCCTGGGGAATGGGGACCAAGGGCTCCCGTGAGCCTGGGAGGATAAGGAAGCTCTGGGCTTCTAGAGTCACAGGAGGGATGAAGCCTGGGTCAGGATGGCAATTCTGCAGGGCAGAGTGGGCTGGAAACTGGCCAGGGCTAGATCCTTCTGCAGGAGCCAGGGTGGAACAGGAAGCAGCTGGGGGTGGGCAGTGCTGGGTTTGGGTCTGGATTAAGCTAAGTATAAACCTCTGAGGTTCTGCATATAAGGTCAGCACAGCATCAGGTTGGGGGGTTCTTCGGGGTCTCTGTGTATTACCCTCACCCTCCCCTCTGGCCACCGGATCAGGAAAGGGCCGCTATGGTGAGGTGTGGCGTGGCTTGTGGCATGGTGAGAGTGTGGCCATCAAGATCTTCTCCTCGAGGGATGAACAGTCCTGGTTCCGGGAGACTGAGATCTATAACACCGTGCTGCTCAGACATGACAACATTCTAGGCAAGGCCACACTTGGGGCTGGAGTCCACAGACCTCCAGATGTTGACATAACCTTGAAGCCTACCTTCAGCCTCAGCCTCTAACCTAAGCCAGATCAACCTTCACACCCACTCCAGCTTTGCCTGCCCCAACTCATTCCCTCTGCCCCTACCCCACTGTGCTCCCAGCTCCTCAAATTCACCCCAGGCTAGCCTCCCTCAGCCCTGGCCCTTTAGTGGAGTCATCCAACCCTTCTGCGACAGGCTTCATCGCATCAGATATGACCTCCCGCAACTCTAGCACGCAGCTGTGGCTCATCACGCACTACCACGAACACGGCTCGCTCTACGACTTTCTGCAGAGGCAGACGCTAGAGCCCCAGCTGGCCTTGAGGCTTGCTGTGTCGGCGGCCTGTGGCCTGGCACACCTGCACGTGGAGATCTTTGGCACACAGGGCAAACCAGCCATCGCTCACCGCGACCTCAAGAGCCGCAATGTGCTGGTCAAGAGCAACCTGCAGTGCTGCATCGCAGACCTGGGTGAGCAGGAGGGAGAACAGGAACAAGCCCTTCTCAGGGGGGCTGGCCCTGAGGGGGAGGGGCGAGCAGGCCCTTCACTGGGCCGTGGAGGGGGGCCTTCACCAGCTCTCCCTCTCTGCCTGTGGGTGGAGACCAAGATTGGCACTTGAAACTTAAAGATGTATGTTGTTTCATTTCACCTCTGCAAGACCCAAGTTGTCTTAATGCCCCTTTCAAGGCCAAACGCCTATACCACACCTGGGTCTCATGCTGGTCTTCGCTAATTAAATCGCTTCCCACTGGCCTCTGTGTTTTGCAAAAGGTACCCTAGAAGGCCTTGCTCCCTGTGGCTGTCTTTCAGCCCATCTCAGTACAGGTCTCCCTAGACTTCCCCCCTGTGTCCCACTGTCTCTCTCCATCCCCATGTTGCCTGTACCCTGAGCCCCAGCTTCTGGGGATGCCATCTGTGGGCTCAAATGAGGCACAGGAGTGACAGGCCTCCTATCCACAGGTCTGGCTGTGATGCACTCCCAGGGTAGTGATTACCTGGACATTGGCAACAACCCAAGAGTGGGCACCAAGCGGTACATGGCACCTGAGGTGTTAGACGAACAGATTCGCACTGACTGCTTTGAGTCCTACAAGTGGACCGACATCTGGGCCTTTGGCCTGGTGCTGTGGGAGATCGCCCGCCGGACCATTGTCAATGGTGAGGGCTCACAGGGTCGGGGAAGGGGAGTGGGACAGATAGAGACAGAGCTTCCTGCTAAGTCTGATGCCCATGTCAGGAGTGACTTGAAGCCAGACCTCCTGGCATCCCTTCTCTTTCACCCACCAACGAGTTCAGCAAAGTGATCTTTTAAGGTTCATCTGAGTCTATGAGTCTGTGTGTAAGACTGGCTATGAAATCTTGGGTAAGTGATAACAAAAATATTAGGCTCAGTGCCTGTAGTTCAGTGAGTAGGGCGCCAGCCACATATACCAAAGCTGGCAGGTTTGAGCCCAGCCTGGGCCTGCTAAACAACAATGACAACTGCAGTCATTGTCAGGCATTGTGGCCAGCGCCTGTAGTCCCAGCTACTTGGGAGGCTGAGGCAAGAGAATCGCTTAAGCCCAAGAGGTTGAGTTTGCCATGAATTGGGACGCCACAGCACTCTACTGAGGGTGACGTAGTGAGACTCTGTCTCAAAAAATATATGTATATTAATAGAAGTTAACATTTAGGCTTGGCGCCTGTGGCTCAAGCGGCTAAGGCACCAGCCACATACATTTGAGCTGCTGGGTTCAAATCCAGCCCGGGCCCACCAAACAACAACGACAGCTGCAACCAAAAAATAGCCAGGCGTTGTGGCAGGTGCCTGTAGTCCTAGCTACTTGGGAGGCGGAGACAGGAGAATCGCTTGAGCCCGGGAGTTGGAGGTTGCTGTGAGCTGCAATGCCATAGCACTCTACCCAGGGTGAGAGCTTGAGGCTCCGTCTCAAAAAAGAAAAAAAAAGAAGTTAACATTTAATAGAAGTTAACATTGAACTTAAATATGTGCCAGATGCCAGTATATATGTAATACTTTACATGTATTATTTCCTTCTCTTGCTTGGCAGGACGGTAGTATTACTTAGTGGTTAAGAACATAGGCTTGGAATCAGACTGAGTGGGTTGTGTTCCTGATTTTTTTTTTTTTTTTTGAGACAGTCTCAGTCACCCTGGGATTGAGTGCAGTGGAGCCCTGGGGTTGAGTGCTGTGGCGTCATAGCTCACCTCAACCTCTAACTGTTGGGCTCAAGTCTCTTGCCTCAGCCTCCTGTGGAGCTGGGACTACAGGTGCCTGCCACAACACCCAGCTATTTTTTTCAGGGAAGGGGTCTCACTCTTGCTCAGGCTGATCTTGAACCTGTGAACTCAGGCAGTCTACCTACCTCAGCCTCCCAGAGTGCTAGGATTGTTCCTGATTTTGTGCCTCGTTTATAAGATGGAAATAAACATAGCCTCTAGTTGTTGAGATAATCCAAGTAAAGCATTTAGAATATCTAGAACTAAATATTAGTGGCCATTATTGTTGTAATAGGATGAATGACTGACATGGTATTTTCTCCATCTTATGGATGAGTAGACTGAAGCACAGAATTACAGCTGGCTAAAGGCAGCATCAGGGTGTGAAACCAGGCAATCTGACTCTGGATCCAGTGTTGTTATCACCACTGTGCTCACTTAAACCTCTCTGGTTCTCAATTTCTTTGTCCATCCAGTGCAGACCGTATCTGTGTCTGCACTGCCTGCTGGTTGCTGCCTCATTATTGCTGCAGGTTTCCATGAGACAGGCAGAGCAACCTATCTGGGCAGCCCTGGGGTGGATGGAGCAGGAGTGGTCATCTGGACTGGAGGGAAGGTCATTAGCCTTTGTGGAGGCTGTCCATGGGGAGGGGCTGCCAGGAGTCCTGATGGTTTTGGGATAATCCCAGGAAGTGTGACTGGACCCCTGTTCCCTGGGGAAAAGGACCTGCTCATCTCCTGAGCAGCTCCAAGCCAAACTTCATTTGCTTTCAGTGGTTATCAACTGGCAATAGACGCTGAGGTGTCACCAGTCCCTCTAGGAGGCTCTAGAGGGGCTCAGATTCCTTGAGTCTCTTGGCTTGAACTGTCAGAGTGGGCTCTAGGAGGCTGGAGTCAGGGCCTGGGGGCACCTGCAAGAAGGCAAGACCCTTTGGACGAGGCTGCAGGCCAGAGAGGAAGGGCTGGGAGGGAGGCCGCCTACAGGCTCCTGGGCAGCTTGGGGAAGCTCCTCCACCCCCAGCCCTGCACAGATTCGCAGCTCATTATAAACACTGTAATCTGGTGTCAGCCCCAGCACTGATTAAAGGCCCATTAGACACACTCAGGCCTCTGTACAGCACTGATTAGGACGCAACCGGCACAGGGGCTGGCCTGGAAGCTCGCCATGGGGAGAACAGCTGGTGAAGGCTCCACTGAGGTTGCGGCCTGTTTGGCCACGGCCCCCAGGCTATCTGTTGCTCCATAGGCATTGTCTTTGGAAAGCTCCTACTAAGGACCACGCACTGGCATGAGATGGGGAGGCTACAGGGTTCAGTGGAGGACTGTGCCATCCTCACAGTAGATGGATGTTGCTTGGACCTAGGCAAATATCCCTTTCTCTTAGGAGAGATATTTTCTGCCCCTTGTCCTTGTTGTATCCTCATACAGCAGTTCACCAGGTGCTCCTAAGTGTCGCTTGGAAGTCAAGAGCACAAGTTTTGGTGTTAGACTTCCTGTGCCTAAATCCTAGCTCTGTCTCAGTCTGTAGATCTTAGACACGTCTCCTAAATGCTCTGGCCTTAATTTCTTGGCTTATACAGTAGAGCTAAGAGGATTCCTTACCTCATAGGACTGTGTGAGGATTTAATGAAGAGTACTTAGGACAGTGCCTGGCACATAGTAAGTGCTCAGTAAACATTTGGTGTTGTAATTATTGTGCTTCTGTGGTAGCTCGTGCTTGGGAACATTGCCTGGGGCCTGGGCAGAAGGCAGCTGAGGAAAGACCAGAGTGAGAGTGGCCCAGGAATCAGAGAGGGTTTGAGTCTTGACTCTGCCATTATTTGCTGCGTAACCTTAAGCTCAACTTCTTCTAAGCAACCGCTAGTTCGTCTGTAAAGTGGAGGTAATAATGGTGCTGACCTGATAGGGCTGCTGTGAAGACTAACAGGATATGCATACAAAGCGTTTCTAGCACAGTGCCTGGCACATGGGAAGTGGAAAACAAATGGCAGTGATTTATATGAATTATAAATGTATTTATTATATGATTATTGTATTAATATATATTAACATTATATTATAGTGTCCCTGTCAGGGATAGCATGGCCAGGCAACTGGTTTTCTAGCCCTTAGGACGGAGGGTGGGCAAGGCTCTTCTCTGGTGGTGTTGGGGCTCCCTGGAGTCCCAAGTGATTATCCCGTGTGCCCCCCATCTTCAGGCATTGTGGAGGACTACAGACCACCCTTCTATGACGTGGTGCCCAATGACCCGAGCTTTGAGGACATGCGGAAGGTGGTGTGTGTTGATCAGCAGACCCCCACCATTCCTAACCGGCTGGCTGCAGACCCGGTGAGGCCTCTGCTGGGGCTGTGGTGGTGTGGGGTAGTGGCTGACAGCTGGGATTCCTGGGCCTGGGAATTTATGTCTGAGGTCTCCACATCACCCTGATAGATTTCAGGTACCCTGGTGGAAGGCACCTCTCTGGCTTTTCCCTCTCACACCCCTGGCTCATGCTCCCCATCCCAGGACCCCTCTGGTCATTCTGGGATTTTCAGATCCCTTTACCAGACCTGTGAAAAGTCAGAGGCTCTCTGCTACATTTTCTCTCTCTTTCTTTTCTTCCTTCTTTTCATTTCTTTCTTTCTTTCTTTTTTTTTTTTTTTTTTTGAGACAGAGTCTCACTCTGTTGCCCAGGCTAGAGTGCCATGGTGTCAGCCTAGCTGCTTAGCTCACAGGAACCTTAAATTCCTGGATTCTAGTGATCCTCCTGCCTCAGCCTCCCGAGTAGCTGGGACTACAGGCTCCTGCCACAGTGCCCAACTAATATTTTCTAATTTTAGTGGACATGGGGGTCTCACTATTTCTCAGGCTGGTCTCAAATTCCTGAGCTCAAAGGGTGCTCCTGCCTTGGCCTTCCAGAGCACTGGGATTACAGGTGTGAGCCACTGTGGATTTCTTATCGTGGAGTCTGTGTTGAGCCTTTGTTATATGTGTTAGTTTTTTCTCAAAACACTTCATATACTTATACAAACACATACAAGCATGCATATGCTTCTAAATATACACTCCCAGATACTTCCCCCTGTGTATATATGCCATACTGTTGGTCCCACGAGGATAAAGGTCATGTCTTTCACTCATCCTCATATCACTGTTACCTATCATAATATTTGGCACACAATAGGCACTCAATAAGTATTTATTGAAAGAATGTATACAAATATGTATGTATATCCATACATAGACACATGTACCTTTCTGCACAGCATACATATCCACAACCAGCCACACATATGCATTCCTGTGAGCACACACCTACACTCACTTTCAGGAGCCAAAGGATGTAGGACTGGCTCATTCTAGAACCACTGAGCTTCCTGGGATGGTGTTGGTTCCTCCCTGGTACATACATTTTTCAGGGCTGTTCTCACCACCCTTACTTGCATGGTCCACTGGGCCCAGCCAATGGAGGGCTGGTGGAGGGACTGGGAGATCCTGCTGTTCACCCTGGAGTCTCAGGCTGTAGACGGGGATGTGGGGACCCCAAAGCTGGCTTTCCCAAAGATCTCGGAGAGATCAGGGTTAAGGTGTTCTATATACACTACTCGCCAGGCACCTGAATGCTTCTGAAGATCTGAGCTCTCTTCCTGTCTTCTCTGCCCTCTCCATCCCCTTCCTCACTCTACTTTCCCTCTTCCATTTTATCTTTCTCTTCTCATCCTTGCTGGTTCCCTGAATTCTCCCTCTCACCACTCTGTCTTTCCTCCTGCCATCCTTTCTAATCTTCCTATCACTGTCTTTTCATCCTTTCTCTCCCACCCATATCTACCAGTTACAGAGTCATCTTCCACACCTCCTTCCTTTCATCTTGTCTGACCCACATCTGTGCCTCTTCTCCTCTGCCTCTCTCCCTGATCTCCAGGTCCTCTCAGGCCTGGCTCAGATGATGCGGGAGTGCTGGTACCCCAACCCCTCTGCCCGACTCACTGCGCTGAGGATCAAGAAGACACTACAGAAAATCAGCAACAGTCCAGAGAAGCCCAAAGTGATCCACTAACCCAGAGGCATCTGACTCCCCTCTGCCTGCAGTGGGGGTGGGGTGCAATGGGTGGTGGCCTGAGTAGAGGGGGTGTGTGTGTGTGTGTGTGTGCTGGGGAGGGGGTGGCCCTCTATGGGGCAGCTGTGTCTGCCTAGCTCAGCCCCAGACCATCCAGCCAAAAATACAGCTGGGATGAAATCTGATCCCCTGCTGTCTGGCTTGCTCAAAGTAGCAGGCTCCCTGACGCCTGGCTCTCTATTCACCCCCACCGCCAGCAGGGTACACCCTCTACCAATGCTATGACAGGATGCAGAAGTTCCACAGCCAGATGGCCAAGTCAGGGAATCCCAGTCTTGGGCTCTGAGCCTGGGCCTGCCCTTGGTCAACCCCACTACCCCACCAGAGCCTCCGGGGTGGCACAGGGCCCTGTCCAGCCCTCAGCAGACACTCTACCCTGCCAGGCCTCCACCTCTGGCACAAGCCCCCGAGAGCCAGGGCCCTTCAGTTTCCTTCCATGAGTTTGTCTCTCAGTTCCATGATGCCTAGGGCTCTCTATCTCCCTGACAAGACCCTGGCTAGCTGAATCCCAACTGCTGGGAGATCTGGGGCCTGGCCTGGTTCCTCTTCCCCCTATCTTCTTTGCTGATTTATTAGGGCTTTAAAACCCAAGAGGTCTGTTTGCGGGTGTGGCAGGATCATAAGCCAGTGGAAAGGTGGTAGGTCAGATAGGCCAGTGAGTAAAACTCAGGACTCTCAGAATAACTAGAGGAGTGGGGTTGGTTGAGGCTGGGTATGGCAGGCAGAGACTTGGGGGGGGGGTCAAGACTCAGGTCTAATCCTGGGCACTTGTGCCATGTGACAAGAGTGGGGCCTTCACTGTCTTGAGACCTTTGTTTCTTCATCTACATATAAGAAGATTTGGTCCTGATGTCCTTTGAAGCTGCTGCTTCTTAGTTCTCTTTGAAATTTCAGCCTGTGTCAGAGCTAAGTTCATCAGTGTCATCTACTCCTTAAGCCCCAGGTCCTGGCAATTTGCCTCAAGATGGGATTTGAAAATAACTGTATCTGAGTCCAGGAACGTCTGAAGTTCCTCTGAGTCTAATTTTGCAAGTTCTATTTTTTGCCTTAAACCATGCCAGTGGCCATCCCTGGGCTCAGACAGCCTGGGGTCTTCTGACCAACAAGGTAGCCCCTCACTGTGGCTTGGCCTTCTCTGCCCTAGGACTGATGGGGTAGCTTCCCCTAGAGCCTTCAAGACTCAAAAGAAATTTGGCTCCATTGAAGAAGCCACTAGCACACAGGTTCCTGTTCCTCACTGGCCCCAGCCCAGGCCCACACCCTTGGCCAGGACCCAGAGAGTATGTGTCCTAGGAGAACTCAGCAAGTGTAGTTCCAGGAGAGACACACGAAGTCTGGCATTTGGAAATGTCAAGGGTGTATGTTCATGTACCAGCAGATTATCCTGGACCCTGGGTGGGTGAATGGGCTGGAAGGAGGCGGATTGGAGGTAGAGTTTGAGGGAGGGCTCAGGCTACAGATAAGGACAGCGCCAAGCTTCAGAGCACCTGGCCTAGCAGCCCTGAGCCCTGGGGCAAGGCAGTAAAGAAACTCACCCACCTACCTCTTGCCCTAAATGACCCAGTGCAGTCTCTCCAGGTGGGCTTCTTGTATGTCCTTCACTATCCCCACTAGGACACTTTCCCAGGCCTGTCTCCCAGCCTTGTGCAAGGCCCAGAGGAGAATCAGGAAGTGAAACTGGGTAAAAAGAGAAAGCTGAATGGACTGGCTGGGTTCCCAGATAATCGGGGCAGAGATCGCATGTCCTCTGGTCACTGGAACCCACCCAGCCCACAAATCAGTCCCCCTCCTGAAAGATTTTATGTCTACAGGATTTTTAGGCAAACTCCTCCTGAGATTCCACAGCCAAGAACTGGAGTCAGCAGCTCCCTAAGGGCTGGAAAATCCCTAAGAGAAGGTCTGAGGCAGGAGGTGCAGAGACGTGTGGAGGTCCAGAGAAGGGGCCCAGTGGCCAGGGCGTGAAGGAGGTGGCATTGCTAAAAGAAGTCTGCTAATTCTTCTGTCTGTGTGCAGGCAGTCATTACAGGGTCGAAATCACACTTCTCTTCCGTGGAGATGCTGTTTGTGGGAGAGCGACGTACATGCCTAGTACATAGTATGTCCTAAATAAACCATGGCTGAATCCTGAGCTCCTGGCAGGTCTTCCCAGGTAGATGGCTCCGCATGGAGAGTCGCAGACGTCCAGAGGAACCCGAGAGGGGCGGGGACCAGATCCCAGGGTACACGCCCTCGCTTTGCCCTTGGACAAGTCAAGAGTTTCCCAACCTCCTGCTTAGAGCCTCGCGGAGGCCCAACTCTCAGTTCTGATCCTGCACGGTGAGCAGGCTGGTCGCCGCGCCCGCCAAGTCGCCCTCTGCTGGCCGTCCGGCTGCCCGGCGGCTCCCCACCCCCACCCCTGCAGAGGCCCGCGGGCCTTTCCCGGCAGGGCGGCACCGCCTACCACCGCCCCCGCGCCAGCGTGCGTGCGTGCGCTCCGCCGACCTTCTGCTTCGCGGGGACGGTCCGGGAAGCCACATCTAGCGAGGAGCTTTGCGAGTCCTTGCGCAGAGGCAGCTTGGGCCCACCTTCCTCTCTCTCAATTCCCTGCTCAAATGGGGTCCCCATCCCACAATAGAAGCACCTCGACGTCCCTCCCCACCTCCACCTCCGGAAGTTGGGGGCGAGTACATGCCACCAGGAGGCAGGTACAGAAGGAAGCTGGGCGGGGCCTTGTCGGTGGGACTGCCCAGACTAGAAAATGCTTAGCCCACTAGTTCTCAACCTTCCTAATGCCGCGGCCCTTTAATACAGTTCCCGTGGGTCGCGACGCACAGGTTGAGAACCTTAGCCTTTGTATTAGACGCCCTCTTAGGGGAAACGCAGGGAGGACGCCCCAGTCCCTTTTGCCACAGACGACCTCGCCTGTTCGCTGCAGCCCCAGGTTCGCCACATGCCTGAAGCCGCCCACGGTGGGTCCATGGATCCCGGCGGGACGGACAGAGCCTTCCCAGAGGTCGCCCGGCCTCTTAGACCAGCTTTGAGGAAATAGCATTTCCAGTATACAGCTAAGGCAGTCTTTCCTCTCCCCACGGCTCCTTACGTCCCCACCTGATGTCCACGCCATGGTTGGAGAGTGGGGAGAAGGGCAGTGGGATAATTGCCGGGAAAGAGTTACATGAATGCCGAGCACGATCTGGGAAAGGAGAACTGCTCCTTCTTCCTCTACAGGGTCAGAAGAGTCCTTGGGATGTCCTGGTGTCCTCACCCACATGTGCCTCCACGTAGCCTCCAGGAACCTGACTGCCTTGGAAAGGAGGAAAACCCACAGTCCCCTCGGCTTTGGCCTGATTTCCTGGGGGCTCCCAGGCCCCCGTTTCTCCACCTGTACAAAGAGGGAGAGGATCGTCTAGATGGGAAGGGCCCTCTCTAAAGGGTGATGGGTGTTATAGCATGTCAAAGTAGGGGCAGCGAAGGTCGCTCCTAGAGCATGAGCCTTGATGTTGCTGACTGCCCCTTCCCTTACACTGCCAAGGCCTCATGGCATGCAGGCCCTCATGGACATTTCTCTCTGCCTTCAAAGGCGCTGTCCTTTCTCAATCCTGCCTGGCACCAAGGGAAGTGCTTTGCTTCCTCCACATCCTCAACTGACATTAACATCAACAGCCGGAGAGAGAGGCAAAGTCCTCCTGCCCAGAAGGCCCAGCCCTGGGTGTGGAGTGGGGGTGGGCGTCCTAAGTCCAGTCTCCCACTGCCACTGCTGGAACTGATGCTAGCTGTGCAGTCGTCACTCTGGGTGGGCGACTCTTGGAAGAGCTGCTTCCACCAGGGCCACGTTCGTTCAGTTTGCTAGAAATAGAGACAGAGGGCTTCTTGACTTTGCATATGATTTGCATAATGTCATAGACACAGTCTATTTTCAGGCAGTTTTCAGGTTAAAGTGTTGTCACTGCTGCCCTGCAGGGTGTCATGTCTGGATGAGTCTTCTCTGTTCTTTCTCATCCACCCACTCTTACTGACCTACATCCCCACCTGCAGGAACGAATGGTGAGGTGGGGGGAGAGTAGGGTTGTCCAGACACGGGGGCAGGAAAGGGAATTTCCTTCATTACCACCATCACCAAAAGCAGAGGCTGGTAGCTCAGGGACTGCTGAGCAGAGGGTGAGCAGCAGGCAGCCAGGTAACCCCTCCTCTATTCTACATAAACCTTCCTGCCTCTCCTATCATGAGAACAGCCAGTCCCTGAGCTCTCTAGTCAGCTTTCTACCAGTTTGAAGGAAGATGTCTAGATGGATAAACCTGTTTCTCTCAGCCACCCATAAAGCTTTACTTGGCCTAGATATTCCTCATGGGCATTTATTTCCAGCACTGAGATTTGATCTTTGTCTCCTGGGAAGTCTGACCCTCAGTCTGTCTCTCTCCTGGGAGCCCTGTCTGAGAGATCTGGATCCTAGTCTTAGTACTTTTAAAGCACCTGGCACATAGTAGGAGGTCAATCAGTGCTAGAGTCCCCTTCTTCGTCTTCATCTGGAGGTCTGTGCCAAGCACTTTATTTGTCCCAGGCTTGGATGCTCAAATGCGTGACCAGGCCCATTCTCTGAGGGCTCCAAGGCAAACACACTAGAAGGGCAGGTGGGATGACTGTCACTAAGTATTGGTGACCTTGGATGGACACTTGGCCTCTCCTCACCTGGAAAGGAAGGAGGTAGTTGGTGGAAATTAGGGGCAAAGACAATTCTCTTCATTCTACAGCTTGAGCTATTTGGTGACCTGTTCTTGGTCATAGAGGGTCAGGGCTGGAGCCCCACCCAAGACTCTCTCCTGTAGACCTTCTAGCCTCAGGGCCTGTCTGGTGTGCTGTCATCTTTTTGTGGATCAAAGGATTACCAGATGACAAGGAAGGAACCCAGGAGCCTTACTGGGTCCTGGGAATCACAGGGCACTCAAGTCTGGCTGCCTAGCAGCAACATACTACCCATAATTCCCAGTCCTGTCCAGTCCCCCTGGACCTGCCTCATCCCCCCAGGCAGGCGTTTCCTGTTGATAAGAAGCTCAGTCACAAACACTGATAAAGAGATGAAAAAAGGAAATTGACAGGCTTGGGTATAATGGGCATTTTGTCTGCCTTTTCTACCCCTCTTCCTTCTCC